GGAAGGGGACTCTGGGATTACAGGGAAGAATGAGGTGTTTTCCAAGCTGGAGGAGGAGGAGGAGGAAGGAAAACTGTCTGGAAGGTGAATCAGACCTGCAGAAGCACTTACCCCATGCTGAGCTTCCCCACTATTGGCATGCCATACTTGCTGGGCATGCTGAAGCTGCCGGAGATTGCGGTGGCCACGATCACCTGCAAGGACAGGGAGAGAAGAGCTGTGAGCAGGAAGAGCTGGGCTGGCTCACAGCATCAACCCTGCCACGCTCCCAGAGCTGACAGAGCAAAACCAGCACCAAGTTTGGGCTGGGGAAGGCGAGGACAGCCCCAGCAGGGGTTATTCTCTTCACCCTCAGCATCACCAGGATGCAGTGCAGGGATGAGCTTGGGGCTGGCCCCGTTCCTGACCCCAGACCATGTGGGGGCTGTGTCACACTCACTGTGCAGATGCTCTGCGTGGTGGCCCTGCTGAGAGCAGCAGTGTCAGGGCTGTGAGGCCAGGGGAGGCTCCCAGGGACAGCCCAGGGGTCACTTACAATGATGATCTCCATTGGGATGGGCACCCGGATCTTCTTCATGTACTTGAGGTTGAGCTCCTTGACGATGATCAGGAGAGCAGCGCTGACCAAGGCGTAGACCAGGGAGGCCAGGTTGGTTTGGGGCAGACCTTTACAAATGTCAATGAACGTCTGAAGGGGAGACAAGGGGAGAAGGGGTCACGGCGAGCCAGACACTCTGGACAACATGGACAGAACAATGGACAGCACTTCTACCACAATTAACACCCTGAGACGTGAGCAGTGCTAAAAACTGAGGGATCAGCCCCCAGCCATGGGCCTGTGCTGGTGATTTAATGCAGCTCTGGCTGCATCAGCACAGGATGCATCCATGCAACGCACAGGAAACCCCACAGGAACGGCCAAACCTGCTCTGAGGAAACATTCCTGCTGCTAACAACTCTGCAAGACTCCTGCTGCAAAGCAACACAGCTCATATCCCCCCCCTAGATCCCAATCCCTTTTCATTATTCCTCCCATTTCATTATTCCTCCCATTTCATTATTCCTCATCACAACCACGCTGCTGGGGCAGGGATCCCCCTTCCCCCAGCCCTTTGCTGCTCTCCTGGGCCCCGTTTCCCTGGCAGGGGTGGCGGTGCTGCCGTGGGGGGAGGAAGGTGGCTGTGCAGAGCCCCCACTTACGTAGACGATAGCTAAGGGCCCGGTGTAAGACGGGACCGTCAAGCCGAAGACGTACTTGAGCACGGAGATGAGGATCTGCAGCCCCGCCGCCGTCATGAAGCCCCTGATGAAGGACTCGGACAGGTAGATGGCCACGAAGCCGAACTGCAGGAAGCCCAGGCACAGCTAGGGTGGGACAGAGGAGATGTGGTCACGGCAGCGACAGCCCCCCGTGGGGCAGGGCGATGCTCGGGGAGAGCACACACGGCTCGCCCACGCGCAGCAGGGCTGTGCCGGGGTAGGGATGGGACAGCAGGGCCAAGGGTGCCATTCTTGGATTGTCCACGTAGAGAATTCCACCCCAAGACCAAAAAAAAAATCTCTCTTTTGATCCATTATCCAACCCCACTCAGGGCTAAGAGTGCCATTCTTGGATTGTCCACGTAGAGAATTCCACCCCAAGACCAAAAAAAAATCTCTATTTTGATCCATTATCCACCCCCCCACAGGGCTAAGAGTGCCATTCTTGGATTGTCCACATAGACAATTCCACCCCAAGACCAAAAACAAATCTCTGTTTTGAGGCATCATCCACCCATACTCATGGCTAAGAGTGCTATTCTTGGATTGTCCACGTAGAGAATTCCACCCCAAGACCAAAACTCCCCCAAAATCTCTATTTTCATCCATCATCCACCCATACTCATGGCTAAGAGTGCCATTCTTGGATTGTCCAC